GGCAGCCCGGTGGGGTGCGTGCCCAGGGACCGGCGCCTCTTCCCGTGACTCGCACGTTGTTTCTTGTCTTTGCCTTTTCTCCGTGTCGGTGATGCTGGGAAGAAATGTGCTAAACGGTGATTTTCGGTGAGATGCTTCCTTCGGTTTGTGCTGTTTCTGCCACGTTGCTGGTTAATAATGGGCTGCAAACATCAAACTGTCATGCATGTTTCATGAACGTGAATTTAATCATAGGAGGGGAAATGCGAATACTGATGTTTCCATTGTTGTTTATGAGGATTATGTTTAGGGGGTTTTCTGGAAAACACACCGTTAGTGAAATGCTGTGAAATGTTTTGTGTTTTCTCCAGTGTCTTTGTTCCTCCTAGTTTAAAGCAGTGTCTGTGTTGTACCGTGTCTTTGTCTTCATACAGATAGGAGTCAACTACCCAATATTCTGCTTATTTTAAACAAATAATCACTTGATGATGTGTTACCTTGTCATTTATACATCCATGTAGATTTGTGCCTGATTAGGTATTTAGCAGAAGGACCTCGGTGGCCATCTCTTTTTTTCACTCAGAGTTAGTAGACTGTTGCCTTAATGGAAATTGTTGAGAGCACCCTTAATGGAACAGCACCCAACGTGATTTTCTCCATTTTACTAAAAGAATTTTTTAGTAAATTTTACTTAACCTTGAAACACAGTTTCCACGCAGGTGTTTATGAGTTGTCCTACGTTGTCTTCTGGCAAAGGCTGGCTCTGTCCCCGGGGGCGAGGCGGGATCTCTCTGGGTTTGTAGTTTGGTTCTTCCTTCCCGTGGCTACCGAAGGGCAGCGCCGCCCCAGGGAGCACCTCGGCTCTCGCCTGCGGCTGGAGCTGGACCCGCAGAGCTTCCCCTGGAATTTACTTCTCAGCTGTGAGCTCCACTCAAGCACACCTCACGGGAGTCATTTCCCCACGCCACGCTGGGTGTGTGTGAAGTGCCACCGCTGCTCGTTCCCGGGGTGGGCCCGTTTTGCGGTTGCTGGAAACAAAGTACTTTGAGTCATCTGTTAATTCACAGTGCTGCTTTTTTCCAGGTTTGCAGGCAAAGCTGATAAAAGAATCAAACGCAGTTCTCACAAGGCAAAATGTTCTTCTTTCAAGCAGGCCACATTTTAAAAACTGATCACTTAAATTAAATGTGTAAAGTCTCAAAAACTTACGCCAAAAATCTTACACAGTTACGGTGTCTGAAGCCAGACCAACAGACATTTTAGGGGATGTATCTGATTTCTCTCTTTCCATAGCATCGTTATCTTCAGCGCATTTGGCAGCCCTGTGGCGTGTGAGTGTAATTAATGCTTTATATCCATGTATAATGTATATGTGTGCAGCCCAGCTGGGAACAGCCGGAGATTCTGTTGCAGTGTGGCACGCCATCGCAGGCACAGGAGAAAATTTTGGGCTGTTTTCATTATTGGGGGGGGCGCAGGCCACCCTCGTTTGAATTCTGTAGTCAGACTTCAGGGGCTGACCCCGGCGCGAGCGCTGGCC